ACACCCAGAAGTCCCTTGGCTCACAAGGCAGGGTGCTTCAGTAGTCCTAATCTGGCTCTGGGCACCTGGGGAGTTCCCCGAGAGCCGCTGGTCCCTATTCCATGATGGAAGATTAAAAAGTTGGTTCTACTGTCAATGAGGGAATCAGCAACAGCAGCAATAATGGGGTAAGTCAACTCCGCAACAAGAGGAAGGCCAAGCAACAGAAGGCAGAATAAACGTCCTTTTGAACCCTTTTCTGATCTGGGCTCTAACCAGAAGGTGTCCCCACCATCAGGATGGACCTTCCCACACTAATCAAGGCAGTAAGGACAATTCTTCGGGTGTGATTCCACTACTCAAGTGATTCTAATTCGTGACAAGTTGGCATTAAAGCAACCCAGTATCCACATCTGGCAGCTCACAACTGCCTGCAACTCTATCTCCAGAGCATCTGACATTTTTTCTGGACTCCTCAGGCAATTATATTCATGCATACCAGACAGACAGACAGACAGACAGACACAGAGAGAGAAAGAGAGAGAGAGGGAACTAAAGAGAATTAAAAATAATAAAAATAGATCTAATTTTTTTTTAAATTTACTTTCTGTTTGTTTGTTTTCTGAGATGGGGATCTCCTATATAGCCCAAGCCGGGCTGGAACTTGCTGTGTAGCTCAGGCTGAACTCCTAATTTCCCTGCCTCAGGCTCTGAAGCCTTGAGATGAGAGGGTCTCCTGGCCCACCCAGCTCATTGCAGTCACCTGGCGTAGGATGGCCAAACTGCAGAACTCAGTCAAACCTTTGATGCAAATGTAGGAAATAAAAAAGATAGAGATATAAGTAGGGTATGTATTTGTTCATTTGTGTGTGTGTGTGTGTACATGTGTATGTCTGAGGCTGTGTATGTGTGGAGGCCAGAGGTCAAGTCTGCTGTTGTTCCTCAAGCCATCCATCTGTTTTTATTATTATTATTATTATTATTTTTTATTTTTTGAGACAGGGTCCCTTATTGACTTGGAACTCATTAATTAGTATAGGCCAGCTGGCCAGTGAGCCTCGGTGAGCCAGGCTGTTCTTCAGAGTTGGGATTAGAATCATGAGCAGCTGTACCCAGTTTATTTATTTATTTATTTTTTCATGTGAGTTCTGGGGGTTCAAACTCAGGTCCTCAACCTAGTGCAGCAAATGCCTTACTGACTCAGCTGTCTCCTCATCCCATCTCTGTTGTTTGCCTGTTGGAGCCAGGTGTGGTGTTTCTACAATCTGCTATCAATACTAGTGCTTGGGAGGCAGAGGCAGGAGGATCTCTACGAGTTCAAGACCCCCTTGGTCTAAATAACCAGTTCTAGGCCAGCCAGAGCTACATAGGGAGACCCTGTTTAAAAAAAAAAAAAAAAAGGTTTTGGTTAGCTAGGAAGTAACAGGTTTCACCGCAGCATTTTCATGACTCATTATACTTCTG